CAGGGAGGTGCCAGTCTCATCCTCTTATCTCTCCCTCGCACCTCAGGAGATGAAAGAAAACGTTTTTCTCCCTGAGTCTGGCCTTCATGATTCCATTCCATCATAATGATAATGATGGGACATGCTAGTCCTATTATTATTATTTTTTAACTGTGATCTATAGATGGCAGTGCAACCTTTAATTTTATGTTGTTTTTTGAAAGACAACCTGTAAAAATTAAATTAATGATTATGTCTTTTTGATTTACTGTTTTTTTTTTTTTATTTGTATCCTATAACCATTTTCTGGCTGATTATTCTCCTGTACCAGCCATTGGTGAAAACAAAAAGTTGGGATATACTTGGTCTAGCAAAAGCTCACTTGTGTTTAATAAAATGTTAAATTACTTGTTTTATACAGTTTTAATAAAAATATCCCTAATTTGCCTTTTCAATTACTATTGGATGTTAAAGCAATTCCAAACTGATCCACTTGATTCTGTAAACTGTATAGTGAGAACAGGCACAGGAGGTACCATTTTACCATTTTTAGAAGTCTATTTCAGGGGATGATCTGGAGGGTTTGTCCAGACTTATGGATAATGTCTGATGGTATTTCTTAAGTTTTGGCTTTAACTTCCATATTACTCAATATCTCCATTGAACTGCTGGGATTGATTATATGGAAATTGGGGTTTATTGGCATGAAGATTTCCCACAACTCTTTTTCATCTACCTAGAAAACTGTTGATTTTCTGAATGAATGTCTGACAGTAGCAATGGACCAGATAAGGATTAGTAAAGTGAGAGTTAATCTGGACAAGGAAGAGGTGACTTTTTCTTTATGCCCTGATAGTACTTGCAGAATGATAAAAGTATGCACTTTTTGTTACTTACAGATATGATGAGAAAATGATCAAAGCTGTCCTCCAGATCCTCAGAACATTAGTTTGAATTATAAGTCCAGATGATTTTAATCTTCTAGACTCTGTGCCAAAAAAAGCAGGGGGAGGGGTTGGAAACACCTAGACTTCCTTAGAGATCCACCTTGCTCTGAAATGGACAAATCACAACAAAAGCAGCAAGTAACAATTGAAACAGACCCATTTAATTCCACCTGAGCTGCTGGGCATTTAACTTTTAGCTATCACAGAAGTACAGTAACATCTTAGTTGGGAGTAAGCTGCTTTGGATTCTTTGAAGGACTGGCTTTAGCAAGAAAAACATGCTCTGGGCTGCAAGATTACAACATAGATGGGCAAACTATCCTTCCCACACAAACTATGAGATCCTGTGCACTTTTACTCAGGAGTAAACTGAATGCAGTGGAGCTTCCTCATTGATTTTAAAAGGAGGCTGATTGATTTTCCAAGACTGCTGCTTCCCTTCCCTCCAGCTGCCTCTCTTCTACAGCCAAAACCAAAATGGCAATTGAGAGCTGAACTAAGTAAACGCAAGAGGAGCTGGGCACATTACACACTTTGATTATATCGTTACCAGCATTATTGAGTTATTATGGATCATCCCTATGGCTAGATTTGTGTTGGGAAAGTAGAGAAAACACTGCTTCTAAACTGGAACAACTAATTTGGATATGCATGTATGCAGTGGGCTCAGGCAAAGCCAAGGTTGATGTTGTAAAGATATGTTATTTAAACTGGTTAGTGACATATCTCCATGCTACAGTTAGCAGAGTGCAAGATGAGTCCATAGATCAAGGATTATAAAGGAGCATGCAGTTTCAAGAAAAAAACCTATTTTATTTTTCATATGTTAGTGTCCCAACTTCATACCACCTTCAGTCCCTTTTAAGAAAATGGCATAAATAGGAAGGCTCAGGCCCCTCGCCCCCATACTTTCTATGCTCCCAACATCTTTATAATTCTCCTCATTCTCCTGCACTTGCTTTCTTTTGGGCAGAACAGCTGAATTTATTTAAGTTCAACAAGGAACTATTCAGAAAATACCCTTTTCACTAAACAATGGCTAGTTCCATATAGAGAAGCAGACAATAACTTTTGTTTACTTTGCAATATTTTTAATCAAGATATGGTTCCCATGGTTGAAACAATTTATAACAGTGTTTTTCACACTTGGCAACTTTAAGACTCCCAGAATCCCCACATCTTTCTCACATCTTAAAGTTGCCAAGTTTGAAAAACACTGATTTAGAATGTGTCTATATCTGGAACAGTCTTCAGACTAATTCAGATTTCTTAGGCATACTGGAATTGAAGATTGGAGAGCTAAAAAATGGATAGTTAAGCACTGTGCAAATTAAGGCTGAAAATGCACTGAGAAGGGGAAAGTTCACTACCACACCCTTGTCACTTCAAATCCCAGTCAAAACTATTGACTGTTAAGTTTTTTAAATTATTAAATTATTATTAAATTATTAAAGTATTCTACAGATTGAGAGCCAGTTCAGTGTCATGGTTTAAGGCACCAGGCCAGAACCTGAGAAACCATGAGTTTTAGTCCCAGTTTAGGCATGAAGCCCAAGGACACTCAGCTGGCTTCATGCCTAAACTGGGACTAAAACTCACTCTCTCTCAGCCCTAGGAAGTAGGCAAGGGCAAACCACTTCCAAAATCTTGTCAAGGAAACTTCAGGAACTTGTCCTGGCAGCCACCAGGAGTCAATTGACTTGAAGGCGCACGCGCGTGTGCACACACACACACAAGAATAAAATAAAGTAAAATAAAAATCAACAGGGTATTCAGGTATGAAATGTGTCAGACCTTCACACCTTTCACTTGAGATTCCCTCAGAATTTGCAATCTGAGGAAAGTGCCTCATCAGACAAGCACTTTTTCTAAAAGTGTATATAGCCAGCATCTGAGCACTCTTGACAGATTTCTACCTGATAGAGTTGCATTCCCAAAACAGAAGGGCAGAAAAGAGCCATGCCCAGTTCTTTGCCTTTCGCTGAGTGAGTCATGGGTGAGAGAGCAATGTAGTGCTCACTCTGACCTCTTCTCTTATCTGAAGAGAAGCTGCTGGGACAAGGAAAAATGCTGCTCTAAACCTCTTGGCAGTTCTATCATTACCTTCTGTAGCAGCTAGCTGGCAGTACAAGTGGAACATTTCTTGCAGGGAAAAAATGTCCATATCAATATTTCCTCTCAGAAATCAGACTTTGTCCACAATAGGAAACAGATAATGCCTGTCTTACTTGCTCAGCCTCTGAAGGCTGATCTCAAGAGGAAAAAGGAGAGGAAGAGGAGAGATTTCTATGGAATGAAAAAATAGTATGTGCTCTAGAAACAAATTTGTTTTATTTATTTCTAGAAAAGTGATTTTTTAAACTGGCAGATTTATAATTACATTTCCAGATGTAGACATATTAAATATTCTAAATTGACTCCCTTCTTTTAAGTGCCTCAACCACTGAAACCCTAACTTGACTAAAAATTGCAAAGTAAACAAAATTAAATAACATATATTTGTTTGCCTGAAGGCTGCTTACAGTAGGCAGATCTTACCTCATGCCCACACTCTAGTGCCCACAGTGATAATAGGTAGCTAGGGAGTAGGATTTTGTCTCAAATTGAAATTTGCACGAATTAAGAACTTTATAAGGAAGGAACCAGTGGGGGTGGAGTAGACTTAGAGAGGGTTAAATGTGGCCACTTACAGGGAAACAGGAGTATGTGAAAAAGAAGTAACAGTTAATATGGGCAGTTGTCACTGAAAGGCATTAAAATTGGACAAATGGGAGAGATGCCTTCTTTAGACTTAAAAGGCATTTTGAGTTGAGTGGGGAAGGAAGGAAGGAAGGAAGGAAGGAAGGAAGGAAGGAAAAGGAAGGGATCGATTGATCGATCGGAAAATGGTGTGAAATTATATCCTTTCAAGCACATAGAATCCCTTAATGATCAAGGTAGTATCGTACAAACATTTAAAAGCAGTCATGGGAGTGTGTGTGGAAACATAATTTAGTCTCAAACAGCCTTGGGATTACTTAGAGTAAGAGTAACTTCCTCTGGTCAACCATACTGGTGAACAATCTCCAAGTCCTAGAGTGACCCTGCACCAGGAACTTTGGCTCACTGCTCATGTTATGTTTCACTCCACCACTTGACCACAGCAGAAAGTGATGGGGTAATAACCCCCACTGATAATTTTGTCTGCAATGGCACTAAATCCAGTTATGCCATTGTATTTTTCACTATATTACAAGAAAGGAAAAAAAGTAAAGGTGCTTGGGAAGCCATCTAAGACGGCTGCTTTGTAGTTTGCTTGGGAATGTGAAATCAAGTGTGCTGGCACATGGGCAAATGGTTATCTCAGAAAGAGGCTGCTTAGATTGGCTGTCTTACATTTCTCTAGCCAAACATAGCCTGAAAGTTATTTGGAATACCAACAGAGGTCTGAGAAATGAGCTAGGAAGATGCTGAAATCAGTGGGACTCAACACTAGACCAGTGTGAGTGGAGGGTTTTTTTAAAAAAAAAACAAAATTCTGTTCCTAGATGAGAGTAGCCTTCAAGGCTGCAAAATTCTGTGGGCATATCTGTGTATCTGTGTTTGTGTGTCTGTGATGCATGAAGAGACTGAAGTGCATTTGGAAAATTGGAACTGTCAATCTTCATTTGACAGTTTCTCAGCTTGTGTTATACGGTGGGGCAAAAAAGTATTTAGTCAGCCACCAATTGTGCAAGTTCTCCCACTTAAA